CGGCGCGCCTCGCGTTCGTCCTCCAGGTTCCGGTTGACCTTCTGAAGGGCATGGTAGATTTGGTTCAGCTCCCGGTTCTCCCGCTTGAGCGCCTTGTGCTCCTTGCCCGACTTGTTGACCCAGCCATCGTTGACGTAGTCCAGGTCCTTCAATGGGCGCTCCATGACGCGACCAGACTTGTCGGAGACGAGAACCTTCATAGCTGGCTGCTCCATGGTCATCTCCAGTTGAGCAATGTGCGCGCTGACACTCGCCATTTGACTCTTCAATGCGACGTAGGTATCCCAAGCGTGGCCCATCGCGGTAGAAAATTTTTCTTGTTTAAACGTGCTAGAGGGTCAGAGGCCAGCATGGAGGCGGCCTTCTGATAGTCGTCGGCTTGTTCTATTGCGGTCAACTGCGCGTGTAAGTCTGCAAGCACCTTCTGTAGCTCTACCACTTGGTCACCGACTCTACGTTTAGCTGGCATCATAACGATGCCCGCGAACATTGCCACTAGGGCGACCTCTAAACCGAGGAACGGGAACATGGTTACCGACTGCGTTATCTGCCTCGGGGCGGTGTAATTGGCAGACGACGCAGTGGAAACCTGTCAGTACTGACTAAATTAACTCGCGAAATTGCTCTTTCCGTCGCGCTCTCCGCGACTTGCCCTACTTTCTCACCAGTACGGCCCCGCCGTACCACCAACGAACTGCCGAGTACGCTCTCGGCAAATACACAGAAAACCTTGGTTTTCTTTCGTTACTCTCAGAAAACCTACAGTTTTAAGATAAACGGATGTCATACGAACGTTCTTAGAACGTTCTTAGAACGGTGTAAGAACGTCCTGTAGGTTATTCAATTTTATCAATTTGGCTGGGCTAAGAACGAGTTAAGAACGTTCTTAACCCCCCTCCGTGTTTGTTTATATATATTGCCATAATACATACCATACACCAGCTCATTATGTCACAGATAACTTTTTATTGAGCTTGCCGCGCAGCATTGCATTGGCGCAGCAGTGCAATGAAATAATGTTTGCATCCTCGGCGGATTTGCAATTGTATGCATCCTTTGTATGTTGTATGTTGTTACAGGGTGGTTAACTTCGCCAGCTGCCCCTTTCCCGGGCAGTCCCTGCTCTCCCCTGCTAGAGGGGCACCCTAATCCGTCACCCCATCCGACTTCAGAATGTATTCGTTGGGTTCGGCAACTCACCACCAGCATCCAACCAAATCTAGCGGATCAACGGCGCATCAACTTAGTTCCTGGTTAGCTCGCAAGTTGATTTTATCCCGTCCTACATCGTCCATATGATAGGGGGCCATCTCCCATTTCAACACTCCACAAACACCCGAGGAGTCGGCAGGCGGATTTGAATCCGGGTCGGACGGGAGCAGAAGTCAGGCCTTAACCTCTGCCAGCCGCCTGCCTGTTCGTAAGCCGCCGTCCTTTGTTTCGTCACCATGCACATGCCTAAATACACGTGCTACGTATCTTTGCTGGTGTTGCCCAGCCACGATGTGCATCTTTCTGCTTCATATCTCGTATAAGTATCAATCATCGTTAAGAAGTAATTAATAATGGGTATGGGTGTAGTATCCTGGGTATCACGGGATCTGTCATCCGCCGATCGGTTCTTTTCTGCAAAAAGACGTGATACAACAATGGGAAGCAAATACAAACAAAGGGCAAGCGGATCTGGAAGACGCACTGGACGACATTGGACTGAAAAATTACTGATGGTGGTGTCGCACCTGTGCCTGGTACCTGCCCTGCCTCCATTTGTATGCTTGGCGGACAGACCTACGCCTACACCTTCGTGCCGGCCGTCAGTTCCCACGGGGCGTCCATCGACTGCTCCATCAACACAGGGCTCGCCAATACAGCTCCTGTGAGTTGTTGCACATGTGCTGTACAGCTTCTCTTAATAACATAGTAAAAGCATGACCGTGCAAACACGCTTGCCTGCATTTTCAGATGTGCCGCCATGCATGTGCCTTGTTGCGTGTGCATGTTGCATATAAGCACTGTAGTAGCTGGCCGCTGAAAAGTCCTCTCGAGATGCTGGTTGAGCGATTCGCGTGCATTTGTAGTTGATATGTGTGCCGTACTGTGTACCAGCTACTACAAGCACGCACGCCTGCTTATCGATCCTGTAATCGCATGCATGGCTGGCACAATGACGATGTGTGCATACTTGAGCATTCAGTACCATGAATCCATCATTTTGCAGCCCCGCTGTTGAATCTATCCACCTTCCGTACCGTATGTCACCATCGAGCCACTGTAGTGCATATTTTTTTGGTGTGTGTGGTTGTTACAGTGGGCTCCAGACTCACGAAGAGTAGAGCTAGCGGGCCAGCTGGCCGTGCAGCAATGCACCTGAGACCAACAGGGCAAACAAGATACCCACCCAGACCAGACAACGCAAGTGTCAACTAGACAGCAGTAAGGGAACCCAAAGGGAAGGCTCAGAAACCCACAACCACTGGGAATTTGCCAACAGACTCCCCAATCGGCGAAAGTCCTAGGAGGCCTCAGACCCCCACCAGAAGCCCTAAGGCACTGATTGGGTCAGTAACCCATGGGTTACCCATCGGTTACCCACTTTCAACCCCAGGAAGCCCTTTGGTAACCCCCTTGTAAGTTCCTACCCAGCAGGAGGGGTAACATGGCCCCAGGGTAAACCCCTCCGTTGCCCTGGACTATGGACATATGTATGGGCCTATAGGCTACTCGTCTTATGCTTCCCATATCGTGAATTCCGCTTAAGGATACATTTATATATGTAAACGTTAGCAACCTTCAGTATCGTGGTATCTCGGAAAGCTTCGTTCGCCTTTTCAACCTTAAGGTCTCTAATGCTGGCATCACACACGCAAGGAATAAGCAATAAGTACCTATAAGTACCTTTGGCTGCGGTAAAACGAGAGCTTGTAGATGAGTAAAGGAGAAGACGCGAATGCTGGCAGCACACACGCAAGTCGACGACAGGTCTTCACTAAATGGATGCCTTTGGTTGTCATCCATTGTTATATAATAGTTCTCATTGTGAAAACATCAGGAAATCAGTCCTGAGGTCGGCCGACATATTACCGGCCGGGGGTGGTCGTACTCATATGTGCATGCTGCTTTGCCTCCATTGATACTCCTAACAAGCACATTTAAGCTTAATCACAGCTAGTTAGCTTGCAAGCTCATATAATGCACACTGTTGGCTGGTTTTGAATTAGACGGACATGCTAAAGTAAGCGATGACCACTATCATGAATTCAGTCAATCATATTCACTGCCAGCATTGTTCCTATTGACCATACATACAATGCACACTCATAATCCACGTTGCAATACTGGTGTGTATGGCGGCAAAAATGGTGGCATTCTAGCGTTCGCGCGCGTGGACCACCACAACAAGACCGTTGACTGTCTTTCTGCAGCACAGGCCCACACTTATGGTGCACCTCATTTAGCAAGACATCCAGTGACATCCGAGGATTTTACCCGGAAGGGCGCCTTACACTTCGCCGGGTGTGACCGTGTTCGGGGTCAAACATCCGGATCTCCCGCCTAAGACCCTCGACACTCTTAAGCTTAGGAGAGCCTGCTCTGAAAACGAGCAGACTCTGGATAGTGTTGCATAGGTCGTGTGTAGAGCTGGAATTAGCAGGTCGGGACGGGGCACTTAGGCAACTGGCCGACCTTACATTGCCGCCCGTAGGCTGGTCCGCGAGTTTTAGGTCTTGGGTCTGGAGCGACGGTATGTGCCTGGATCTTTTGATAGGAATACTTATTGGCTTCGCAGGCGGCTTCTCGTGGTCCCCAATTTGCTCTCTGACGAACAGGCGTACATAGG